GTTTTTCACACTGATGACCGATGTAGCATCATCCCCCTGGCCATTGATCAAAATTCAGATGCTTGGCGACTTGATGGGATTTCCCCTTTTGCGACCGTCTGACAAGCAAAGTCAACAGGGAAGCCAGATTCACCTAACAACTGCATGACTAATTTAGAACACGGTGCGGTGATTCACTTAACAACCGTGGCCAGAAGGATCATGGAACCAAACTCAAGCAATCAATGTCTCGCTTAGCCACAGAAAGGTTGGTCTCAGTTTCAGTTGTAACATCAAGGACCACCTGCAATCTCTGCTAACCGATTTCCTTCACCTTCCTTGGACACAATCCTCAAACACAGTTCTATATTAATTTAGGAACAAAAATTATCTAAGCCTGTAAATGCATTTCCTCTCCCCACAAACACATTAATGGTTTCCACAACAGAATTTGGCCGGGTGCCATCAGATTCCTGCCAGGCTTACGCTGCGACTGTAACACCAGAGATGCTCCTAATCGAATTCACAACTGCACAATATTAGCGAAGGGGCTTGCGGCCGCCTCGGTGAATCAGCCAACTGCGGGGTTCCCGAGCTCCCTTCCCCGATAAACCTGGTTACTCCACATCTCTTTAATAACAATAATTGTCCCTGTCCCAATGGTTAAGAATCGTAAACTGATTATCTGAAAATAATACGGAGGCTTTAATTATAGCAATAACTATGCAAGGAGGGTTTTACCGAGACAAGAAAGAAAAATATAATTGCCAAGACTTGTGTGGTGGCACGACTGGAGGACAGAAATACATTTTCCTTACAGACGGAAAACCATTCTGAATAGCTTTTGGACCAAGCAACAAGGATCGGAGCAAAAAAAATAAAGGAAGTTTAGGCAACCGTTAGATCTCGTAGCCAAGTTGTCAATTCAAAAGAAGTTTCTGTGCTCCGATTCAGTGCATTTGTCCAAATCAGAATGAAACATCGGTGGCCAACTTATCTTGATGTTCAAGAATTTTCTGCCCGGTGGTACCTTTTGTTCCAATAATAAATTCCTCTCGGGTTCTATTCAGGTTATAAGATCGCAACCATTCTGCGAATTCAAAGCACGAGAGTAGCAGGCCTCGCATTCTGCAGGCTTTATACTTCCATAACTCACAGGAAGAGGGGGGGGGGAGGACCCACGTGGCAAGAGGTCAAATGCAACAACCCTTTTATAAATAATTCTGGAAATAAACGCAGTGTCCTGGTTTGAACTCTGGGCCATTTTGGGGGGGGGGACGGGGACACAGATTTTAATGGGTTACGGCATGAGCCTACGATTTATTTTGCTTTGAACTGCTTCCCTTAAGAACTACTATCTGCATCAAAGCAGGATGAAAGCTCTGGGTAAATGTATTTACATATTTCTTACCCACAAAACGCTGTTTGACATTGTGACTCAAAGAGAGATTAGAAGGGAGCCAAGTCACGCTGAAAGCCAAGCGCACCCCGCAGTGCCCAGCTTTTCCAACTGGTTCTATTAAATTTATACATTTATATTTACACAACACACATACACACAGTTTCAAGGCCTGACAGGGATTTACACTGACACTAAACAGGAACGTTAAACACAAATACGAGCTCCCAAAATTCCCACCAACGTTACAAGCAGTTGTAGAAAATTGATGCCTGTTTACAACGGAGTGCCCAGAATTAAGGCTACTGTCGATTTACAATCAATAGAGTTTTATTCTACTACTTCGTCCACCGAAGTGAAGTAGGCCCAGCGTTTGGCAAGCCACTAAATTAAAGCAGTCCCCCGTGGCGAAAGGCTTCTACAATTGATCCAACATAAAAGTTGGCTCAAGACACGCACCGTGTCAAGTCATGTTAGGTTTGACCAAAGCAAAGAAACCACGCTGTAGCTCAGAACATCAAGTCAGTGGCTCAAGAGTTTTCAGAATGAGCGCCGAGGAAGGGCTTGGAAGTCATCCGAGCATCGTCGGGATGGACCTTGGTTCCTAAACTCCATTACGAGGTCCTACAAGACACTCGGAAGGCCCTTTCATCCCACAATGCATTTTTCCTTTGCAAGAGAACCGGGCAGAATTTCCTGCTCCCTTCCCAAGAGCGTTTGTCCACAATTTGGTGCCTTGTCTGGATGAAGTTCTCGGTTAAGATCAACCTCCGTGCAACCCACTCTAGCAGGGGTCTCCAACCTTGACAACTTTAAGACTTGTGGACTTCAACTCCCAGAATTCCTCAGCCAGCAAAGCTGGCTGAGGAATTCTGGGAGTTGAAATCCACAAGTCTTAAAGTTGTCAAGATTGGAGACCCCTGCCTTATAGGGTCAGCCCCTCTGCTCCCTGTAGAAACCCTCTCTGGCCGTTAGGCCCCACTGACCTTAGAGGGGGGGAAAAGATGGTGGCCACCTGGTTTCTTTTATGCTGGTCAATAGCGTGGAGCTTTTGTTTGGACACGCAAATATCCCTGGCACGCTGCCTAAAATTCCGCCATCAGATACGCATCCCCCGACCAAGGGCTCTGCTGCTTCCCTATATGGTCCTCTGCTGGCAGGCGCCATGTCAAAGGCCATCCAACGCGCTTAGGCTTATGACAGAGGCATGCCCACCGTCTTTCACACCTCGGGAGTCTTGACATCAGCTATGGAACACGGTGTCTGTTCCCTGGGAGAGCTATGCCCTGCGTCCGTGGCTAAGCGGACGGACGGGCGTCCTGCAGGGAACCGATCTGGTCACTGCAAGATGGAGCAGACACAAAAGGTTTAAGCCCACTTTTCTTTGCTAGAAGGCAGGGTTTACGCCAGGGGTGCCCAAACTTGGCAACTTTAAGACTTGTGGACTTCAACTCCTAGAATTCTCCAGCCTGCATAGCTGCCTGGAGAATTCTGGGAGTTGAAGTCCACAAGTCTTAAAAGTCTGCTTTAGGCCTTTCTCCTGCCCTGGGGAAGAAACCCCATCCTTTAATCTAAAGCCTGCTTTTTCTAGAAGTTGTCACCACTTTCCCTCAGTTCCTTTTTTTTTCCGGATGCTTCATTTTTTTTTTTAAGGTGACACAACTGGTGCTCTCCACCAACTGTGCTACACACAAGATGTGCCAGGTGACCATGGCATTGGCAGTCGGCCATATCCAAGGCAATCACTTGGGTGGGCTGGGAGAGGAGGCGAGGAGAGGGCATATCAGGCCTCCAGGGGCAGCAGAGCACAGAGGGAGACGGTGGTCTCCTCCCCGGACCGCTCTGAAGCCTACACAGAAGAGCTGAAAAGGCCACTGTGAAACCTTCTGGGGTCAAAGAAGTTTGGCGAAATGGAAGGAGGAGCCGCTCTGGGCTTATTTTTCTGTACTGAAGGGGAAAAGAGCCACGGTCAGAAACCGCCCGCTGATAATACAAGCCATATGGAGGAACAATAAATAGGGGCCAGGCTCTCTTAAGGGCACGAGCTTAGCATGGGGATCATGTAACTCAGGAGCCTCCAAACTTGGCAACTTGAGATCTGTGGACTTCAATTCCCAGAATTCCTCAGCCAGCCCTGCCAAGTCACCAAGTTTGGAGAGCCCTGATGTAACTCATCAATACAATACTTTAAGTTCGGAACTGAAGAACCAAAGAAGCTTCTTGGGTGAGAAGGGAAATGTTTTCAAATGTTTTCAATGTTTTTGGAAAAAGCACCTTTGGGGGACAACCATGACCTGGGTGCTTGAGAATCTCCGCAGACACTTAAACTTGGAAGAAAGGGGTTACCCTAAAAGAAGGGAATCCTATGCAGCCAAAACCCAGCTTTTGATTTCTTCCGCTTGCTTTCTAAGAGTTAAAGGCACGTCAAGAGCTAGTTCAGGCTCAAAACATGGAAGCGACACACAAACACACACACACGCATACAAAAAAAAAAGCATTTTGAGAATCCATTATTAGGTAGTAAATAAAAGTTCTCACCAGCTACTTCCACGATATCACCGGGGACGAGGTCTCTTGCTTTTATCCTTTGTACACTTTTTCTGTCTTGTCGATAAACTTTTCCCATTTCAGGTTCATATTCCTTAAGAGCTTCAATGGCATTTTCAGCATTTCGCTCCTAAAACGCAGGATCAACAGCAGGGGTTATGATAGATAGATAGATAGATAGATAGATAGATAGATAGATAGATAGATAGATAGATAGANTTTTTGTCGGGACCAGGAGTCTGCTTCAGGCTCTCAGGAAGCCTCGGTCGGAACACGAAGGTCCTCACAACTGGACTCCTTCCCACATTGGATCTCTGACTCAGAACAAATCCAGGAAAGTGGCTAGGACAGCGGTTCTCAACCTGTGGTCTGCAGATCCGGGGGGGGGGGGGAGCTGCAACGGTTCAGGGTGCCCACATATGTTTGATGCAGTCTATGTTGTAAATCTTGAGTTAAATTTTGGTGGTCTGTGGTCACGGTTCACGGACCCCAAGGTATTTAAAGGGGGTCCGTAGTGAATGGGCCATGTTGTGTGAGTGAGAAGAGTTTGCCGCATGAAGCCATGAGTTGTGGGGACTCTGCTACAACGAGGCCTCTGTCTTTTGGGATGCTTGTTGCATTCATCCTTAGTTCAGTGCCTGGTGTAATAACGAGGCTTGAATTTGTGTTTAACGCAAAGCAATTGCAGGAGGAGATCAGTTGGAGGCCCTGCTCTGACAGAACCACTGACTTGACTGCAACTGGGAGAAGAAATGGATGCAGCCCCCCTCCCCACCCCCGGAACTGATTTTGGCACCCAAAGACAATCTCCTGTTATCTTAACTTGCTACAAAATGGGTTTCTGCTACAAAATTGATTTTTATGACTGTTTGATTATGGTACTGTTTTTCTTAACCGTGGCCACTTGAAGAAGGGGGGACTTCAACTCCCAGAATTCCCCAGCCAGCACAGGAAATTGAAATCCACCCACGTCCAAGTGGCCAAGATTGGGGGGGGGGGGGGGATACTGAATTAAGGGGAAAGGGAACCAGCTCTGCTCTCTCTAGTTCCGTGGCACTCAGGCAAAAACACTCACATCCGATCGCCAAGTAACGGAAAAAGAGCCAGCCGGAGATGAGGGGCTCCTTGGGGTTACGAGGTGGCTTGCTCATGATATCCAGATCAGGGGGGTTGAAGCCCAGGGCGGTGGCCGGAAGTCCGTCGGTCACAAGGTTTACCCATAACAGCTGGACAGGGATTAAAGCTTCCGGGAAGCCCAGGGCGGCGGTCAGGAAGATGCTAAAGGAGGAGGAAGAAAAGGAACAGCAGAGGTTAAGCCATGTTCCTGCCAATAAGCTACGATGCTTAGAAGTTAAACCACTGGTTCTTCACGCTCTCAGAGCTGGGCAAGCAGACAGCGGAAAGGCAGGCTGGAACCCTGCCTGAGAGGGTGAAGTGTCCCCCATAGGGAGAGATCTCTGGGTTCCCTTCTTATATAATTCACTCCAAATGGACATACTGTATTTTTTCAGAGTATAAGACGCACCTTTTTCCCTCAAAAAAGAGGCTGAAAATCTGGGTGTGTCTTATACACTGAACACAGCATTTTTGGCTTCCCGAAACCACGCCCCCTTCACCAAAATGGCCGTGCAGAGCCTCTAGGAAGCTTTTAGAGAGCTCCTGGGGGCTGTGGAGGGAAAAAATGGCCCATTTTTTTACTCAATTTTGCCCCCCCCCAGCCCCCAGGAGCACTCTATATACTTCCTAATCCCCCCCTTTTTTAAAAACAAAAAACAGGCGCGTTTTCGCGAAAAACGGGCCATTTTGGGGAGGTTTGCAGAGTGCAAAAACTTTTTTTAAAATTTGAGACTTCAAAACCTTGGTGCGTCTTATAGTCCGGTGCGTCTTATATTCTGAAAAATACAGTAATTCACAGCCTTTGAAATAAAAATAGGGTTTTGGGGACCAAGCGGAAGCCTAGTTCACAACCTCCAGCCCTTGCTCTGCTCCTAGTTGCAAACACCGGCCGACTCACCAGACCACTTCTCCAACGTTGGAGGAGATGAGGTAGCGAATGAATTGTTTCATGTTGTTGTAGATGGCCCGGCCTTCCTCCACAGCGGCTACGATGGTGGAGAAATTGTCATCTGCCAGCACCATTTCCGATGCCGACTTCGCCACGGCCGTGCCGGATCCCATGGCGATTCCGATTTCTGCCTTCTTCAAAGCGGGGGCATCGTTTACGCCGTCTCCTGTCTGGGAGAAGTTTTGGGTCGGGTCAGGATGCCCAGACAAAGAGTTTAGCGTTGGGCCCCCTGGAATTGGCTGCAGAGTCTCTGGGTCTCAGAATAGATTAATAAATTCTATTTTGATCCATTCCCCTGAAAAGCAAGTCCCCCACTTATGACCACAACTGAGCTCCACATTTCTGTTGCTAAGCGAGAGAGCTGTGAAGTGAGTCAACTGGCCTCATCTTACGACCTTTCTTGCAATAGTTAAGTGAATCACTGCAGTTGTTAAGTTAGTAATTTGGTTGTTAAGTGACGCTGGATTCCCCACTGACTTTACTTGTCCGAAGATCGCAAAAGGGGAATCAAATGATCCCCGGGATGCTGCAACTGTCATAATGACGTCAGTTGCCAAGCCTCCAAACTCTGATCCCGTAACCACAGGATTGCTGCAAAGGCCACAAGTGTGGGAAACGGTTGTAAGTCACCTGTTTCAAGGTCTTTATCACTTCGAACTGAAAGGTTGTAAGCCAAGGCTGTAAGCTGTATGACCCAACATCCCATCACACGCTTATCTGTGCTGCTCATTTGCACTCCCCACACGCACGCTTACCATTGCTGTAATTTCGTCAAAGGCCTGGAGAAACTCCACAATTTTGGACTTGTGGGAGGGCTCCACGCGGGCGAAACAGCGGGCGTTCATGCAGGCATCTCTCTGGCTGGCTGGCGAAAGTTCATCGAACTCCCGGCCGGTGAAGGCTTTGGAGGTGACGTCCTCGTCTTCCCCGAAAATGCCGATGCGCCGGCAGATGGCCACCGCCGTCCCCTTGTTGTCGCCAGTTATCATAATCACCCGGATGCCCGCTTGCCGGCACAGCTTTATGGAGGAGGCCACCTCGATGCGGGGAGGGTCCAGCATTCCCACGCAGCCCACGAAGGTCAGGTTGGTCTGAACGGGGAGCAAGGCCAGAGGGGGGTCAAGGGGTCTCAGTCAGAAGGAAACTGCCCGCAGGAGATTGACAACAATGTAGGTCTCTTTATTACTTTGCAACTTTTAAACATGTAATCTGCCATATCTTCTTTTTCTTTTCTTTCCTCTCTCCTTCCTTTTAACCCTTTTTTCTTCCCACCCTTCTTTCCTTCTAACTTCCTTCCTCTCTCCCTCCACTAATTTTCTTTCCTTCCTTCCTTCTTCCAAGTTTCCTCTCTCCCTCCGCTAATTTTCTTTCCTTCCTTCCTTCTTCCAAGTTTCCTCTCTCCCTCCACTAATTTTCTTTCCTTCCTTCCTTCTTCCAAGTTTCCTCTCTCCCTCCGCTAATTTTCTTTCCTTCCTTCCTTCTTCCAAGTTTCCTCTCTCCCTCCACTAATTTTCTTTCCTTCCTTCCTTCTTCCAAGTTTCCTCTCTCCCTCCGCTAATTTTCTTTCCTTCCTTCCTTCTTCCAAGTTTCCTCTCTCCCTCCACTAATTTTCTTTCCTTCCTTCCTTCTTCCAAGTTTCCTCTCTCCCTCCACTAATTTTT